TTGCAATTTTTATTCTTTCTATTCTCTTTAAGTTTAGTTTGTATTCGTTTTTACTGTTGTAATCAAAATCCTTAATAAAAATTACGTTAAAAAAAAGAAAGTAGATATTAGTAGATTTAAAATAATGCTAAATAGAATTCTGTGGCACAGAAAGCTAATGCTGCAAGGTTCAATTCTGGGTTTCCCACTATTCATTATTTTTATTAATAACTTGGATAAAGAGATGAAAGAAACAATTAGATCTGCAGATCGTACAAAATTGAGTGGAATAGTTAATACTCTAAAAGACAGAAAAAAAGCTGAATTGAAGAAGTAGTTAAATTTAACAGAAACAGATAAATATTCTTTTGCTTGGGAAACACATGAAATGCACAAATACAGGATATGGGATGCCTAGTGTCATAATGATACTTGTGAAAAAGATCTGGAATAACAGTTGGTTGAAACTGAATAGAACCAGCAGTGTGATTTGGCTTCAAAATAGGTAAATGCAGTTATGCACTGTATTAGCAGAAATATAATTTCCAAATCATGGGAAGTAATAATTCTACTTTATTTTCCATTGGTCAGAATAAAGTACTTTGTCCAGTTCAGGGTACCATATCATTAATATCCTTAAATGTCTGAAAGAACATCACATAGATGGCCCCATTCTTTCTCATTCTAGTGCAGGATGTGGGAAAATGGATTTAAGTTACAGAAAGGCAACTGACAATGAACTCAGTTTCCAAGGAACGTGGTGAAGTGCTATTCACCAAATGTGTTTCAGGACATGCTAGGCAACTACTGTATCTGTCAGGAATACTTTAATTTGGATTCCTAAATGAGTAGGGGTTGGTTTTAATAACCTAGACCCTTCCAATTATATGAGTCTGCAATTACTGAGAGATTAAGTTATACCCTTGCTGGTTCCTCTTGGTATTTTTCTCCATCTTTAGTAAACATTCTACCAAGGTATATAAATTCATCTACTTGTTCCAATTTTTCACCATTTATGTGTAAGTTGCAATTCAGTCTTTTTAATTTTTAATCTCAAGAGAATGTTATAAAGAGGGGCTTAGTTAAAGCTCTAAAGCATTAATTTGCTTACCTATATTTATTCTTTTTCTGCCCTTGTATAGTTATGACATGAGATCATTTGAAAATTTGTTAACAATCATAGTCTACTTAAATTCTGTGACATCAGTAAATAAACCCAGAGTTTTTTGCATTTTGAGGCCTTTAATAATCCAGTATAAATGTATGTATGCAGCCAATAAACAAAAATGCACAGTTATTGGAATTCTTTTGCTTCAAAGCCTCTATAACTTCTGCCATTTATTGGCACAAACATTTTGATCCTTTAATAAGTCAAAAAGCGTTTTCCAGTTGATTATTCGGGATTTTCTTCATTAGACATTAATCTTTCCAGGTTTGAACACTGACCACTAATCACCACCATAAACTTAACATTTTGCAAATAATTATTTTTAGCCCATTTATTGTTTTCTATGGATCCTTATTATGTGGTGGTTATTTCATTATCAAAGTAATAAATGCAAAAACTAAATGCAGGAGTTGTATTTAGCATTTAACTTTTTTTTATCAGGACCAAAAGCACAACTAATGCTAAGATATCCAGATGGGAAGAGGGAACAGATTTCATTGCCTGAACAAGCTAAGCTTCTGGTATGTAGAAATAATTAAAAACTCAAGACAGATACCATTCCTCTTTTAGTATTTACCATTTTTCATCTTTGTGTATATGTATTAAATATGTATGCATGTTTATTAAGTTTTTCATCTATACATCATAAATTACAAAACATAATGACCAGCTACTACGTGCAATGGCATGTTGAGATGATTGCTCTTCTTCCAACCCGTCTTATCAGATAGTTTTTGCCATTTTAAACTAATATGTGGCTAATTAGCAAGATTGGTAACAAGAAGATGTCTAAAAAGGATAATTCCCCAAAAGGCAGAGGAATTAGGGCTTACATGAGTGATCCAAAAACAACCAAAGCATCATCCCATTCTAGAAATGAAGAAATGGAGGAGGGTGTTCCAACAGAGTGCACAAAAAGCAAGCATCATTTGGTATGAATCTCTGAAACTGACTCAGTAGGAAATCTAATTAAGCAACCCAAAAATGAGAACTAATGATTAAATGGGACAAGTCAGCTAACATGAACCAGTAGGACTTGGAAATCTGTGGTTTTCTATCAGCTTCCATACAAGAGATGCACTGGAAGATAGTATATTGATGGCAGTTAACTCCAGTTATCCCAATATATGATCATTATTCTTCAAAATATTGGCGTGGTTGCAATCAGAAGGAGACTTCCTTTTTTAATCTCTGGTGGACTTGGAAAAGGTACACCTTTTTGAAAGAAAATATTTAAAGAAGTCAGAATAATAACAAAACAAAAAGAATGTATTCCAGCCTTGGGCTTGAGGAACTTAATGCAAAATTAAATATAAAGGAACTTAACTATATTTTTATTCCTAGTTGCTAAATCAATAATTATTCAGAAGTAGAAATTCTTACGTAATTTGTCATTTGACAGTTGGCACACTAAAATATTATTATTCTTGGTAAAGTCACTGATAAAGTTTGAATATAAAATTCCCAAAGGGATGAATAGCACTTTTATCAAATTGAGAAAGATTATATATGTTAATACTGTAATAGCTCTAATTTTGATGAATCTAGTGATATATGGGAAATATGACTGAATTTTGAGATATACTTTATTTGAATGTTATCTTGTATTATTGTTTCTTATCTTATAGAATATTAAAAGTGAAAATGAAATAAAATTTAAATTTTAAAAAATGCAAAAAATAAATACATAAGCTGTTAGATCAGATCCTGGCCCATCTAATCTAGCCATCTGTTCTCACAGTGGCTGGCCAGCTGCACAAGGAAGCCCAGCAGATGGCCTTCAGAGGCAGTCCCACTGCCCTCAAGGCAAATAGCCATTGATCCCCATGACTTCCATGAATTGGTCCAATCCTTTTTTGAAGCCAGCCAAGCTGATAGCCAGCATCACATCTTGTGGTAAAAATATAATTACCTTCATCCATGGACTATTTTGCATCCCTATTCAGCAGTGAAATACCAGGGTGATTTTTGCTTTTTCAAAACAACAGAAAAAACAGGCAAAGATATCCCGCAAAATCCCTATATTAGCCCAAAACTTCAACCATGTCCCCTACCCGGTCTCCTTCTGCCACCCTTCCTCCTCACCCTCCCACCTCAAAATTAGAAAGACCTTGCTGCAGAAAGGTTGCTCAACCCCATTCCTGGATAGGAAGCATTATAGGAATCCTATGAAGGAAGGATGAGGAATATATATGTATGTAAAAACATGCTCATCTTGTATGAACTTCTGTGAGAAGTTGATGAAACTTGTTTATATTTGTTGCTTCTGTAATCAGCCAAAGGACAGAAAGTTAAAAAAAAAAAAAGTGGGTAATTTAGTTTGTATCTGAGAGTGTGCTATCTCCAGTGCATTTTACATGGTGTACATATACCCTAAACTACTGCCTGTCTACAGTGTTGGTGATGAATATAAAGGGGAAGAATAGATTCTATCTACTTGCTGAAATTATTCACAGAATAAAACTGCAGGGATTCATTTAATGACCTGCTGATTCACCAAGGTCTTTTGAAAACCAACCCAAATATCTCATTTGGGATTTCAAAAAAAAAAAATTGCACTATAAGGAATGTTTTTCTACTAATTACTAATTTTCTACTAACACTCTTCAAATGTTTCCCTATTTCTTTAACTACATATACCTGTAGTATACAGATAGACAGTTTGTGTTGATATAGCCTCCAGTAACTAATACTCTATTGTTTTAATACTCTATTACATGTTGGTGTTCTGTGATAAAGATAGTGGTCTCTCCTTTCTCTGCAGGCTCTCATCAAACATGTACAGTCAAAAGGATACCCCAATGAACGTTTTGAACTCCTCACCAACTTTCCCCGGAGGAAACTTTCCCATCTGGACTATGACATCACATTACAGGAGGCTGGTCTTTGTCCACAAGAAACTGTATTTGTACAGGAAAGGAATTAGTTTCCCCCCATATCATCTTCACCTACAGTACTAACTCACTACATATGCAGATTTGAAAGCAGGCAGCCTTTTGCTGATTTCTCTTTCTTCCCATACTTTATGCTATTCTTAACAAGTGAACGAAGTGAAATCAGCAGAAAAAGTTCAATTGGCGTTGATGCTGGAAGAGGGCTTATGTGTTCAGTAGTTCGTTGCTGTTGCAAAATAAAGTTGCCTGTACATCCAGCATGCTGCAGACAGAGAATACAAGAGCAAGAAATATTTTTCTTCCCCTGAGAAAAAGAAATCTGTTTTCTTTAATATATTTATTTTTCAAAGGTCATGTGACCAGGCATTAAGGAATTCTTCAGACAACTATCTCAATATGTGCAGTCTACACGGAAGAGATTTTGTGTTCCCAATTGTCATGCGTGTCATTTGGTTTTCAGCATGTGTTTTTTTTTCCCTGGGATGCCCACAAATCAGAATGCTTCCTGTACTGATGCTGGTTGCATGTAATAAATTGTCATGCATTTATTATGCACAGGCATTTTAGGAAAGGAGCACAGGCCTAAATGACTATGTGAAGAGATTCTGTGTTTTGGCTGTGTGTGGAGAAAAAAAACAAATGAAGTGCTGATTCATTTGCCCACGTATCCCTTCATAAGTCATAGCATGTGCTATTGCAGAAGGGGCGTAGAATGTGGAACATTAAAGTGTCTATTTTAAATTTATTTGTATGTACTGCTTTTGTTACAGAGGAATGAGATAATAAAGAAAAATAATAGATGTAGTCAGTAGTATAAAGTCTCCTTGTGTAGCCTAGAACCATGGGGCTTTCTCCTTTTCACAATTAAAATTATAGAAGGGGAATTGATTTCTCTCTCTCTCTTTTTTTTTTAAAATGTTACCAGCAATGAAACATTCACAGTCAATGAATGTAAACTTATAAAACCTCTTCTATCATAACTTAAAGCTTTTTTCATTCACTGTGCCACCATTTGGAAGTCTCTCCCATTGACATTTAGTGAATGTGCACAGATTCTGGGCTCCAGGCAAGCATTTTTGTGTTTTTTCAGTAATTTTGAAATCTTTTTGATTAACAATTAAATTTAGTTAATTAAGTCAATAAAATTTACTTAAGCAAAGTACAAACAAGTAAACATGGTTTTCCAACAATAAAAACAGTTTTAAAAACTAAAATTAAAAAACAGCTGCTTGCCATCATTTGTTTTAAATGGCCAAAAAATGATAGATGTGCTCCAGATTTGAGCAATGGTAGGTAAGGTTTGGGTCATTTGGGTCTGGTGATATTTACAGTGCGTATTTGGCATTAAACTGCAGTAGAATGGGTTGTGTTGCCATTACATTTGATTAATCCATGGATATGGGCTTGAGGATTAAAGATACTTATTCTGCATTGTAGAATAAAAACATTTCCTTCCTTAATATTTTTTTCCCTTACCAACGCTAGTAACAGATGTAAGATTAATGTAGTGTGGATTAATAGGTGTTTTACACATATGCCACAATTGCTTTTATGTTCAAAACCATACAGCTGATACGTTTCTAAATTAATGGAGACACAGAAATATGCTCAGTAAGAAATCTAGCTTTAAACATGAGATGTTTTTGGAAATTGATGTCCACAAACATTTGATACATAGCTAAAAAGAATACTGAAGGTTGAGAGTATTATCTGTTCAAATTTACCTAGACATTTGTATTAATACTGTCTGATTCTTGTTGCTCTAACCTTTTTTTATCCTTTTTTGGTCCTTTATTTTTCTTTCAGTCTTCTTGTGACCTTTCCTCTTACCTTCAACCTTTCAGAAACCTTTTAAAGTTCTTGGTCTGCTCTAGAAAGCTGCTCCTGTATGTATAGGCTCTTTGTGATGTTTCATCCAAACTAATAACTTGTTCGCGCGTACATTTGTCATATACTGAAAATGAGAAATGTTTGTGGAAGTTCCAGGCCCTTGGATAGCCCCAGCTGTCAGTGGCTTTGCTGCAAAAGTTCAGTGCAAGATCTACTGCATTTTCTGTCATTGCTATGTTTAAAGAAAATATTGAAAAGCTTGCAGTATAGTTCTCACTCTAATCAGATTGCAAAATAAAATTGTGAGAACAGAATTCATTAACAGTTTATAAGCTACTGGAAGAATGGCAGTGGTAATATTCATAAATCATTTAACTATTTTTTTTAATCTCTGAACTCAAATATAATTATCTTCCTTGTCCAGTAGTTTATACCAATTTAGCACCCCCCTGCCCCAAATCCATGTTGGTACTACTTAGTAAAGTATATCACTGCCTCATATTCAAACTTTTTTTCCCTGATTCTGAAAATGTAACAGTATTTATGCCAGTTGAGCTTTTCAGGAGAAGGATTTCTACAGTTATTACTAAAAAGACACACTTTGTGATTACCATCTCCTCACCTAATCATAAGTAGAGAACATGAATCACTCTGTGTGTTTTACTTTTGTTTTATAACAGCAGCAGAAGTAGACAGGGCCTTTTCTCAGAATTCTTGCATCTAATGGTGGCATTACTTTAATGGAAAGTACTTTCACTCATGACATTTGAGCAGTTGCCTTCAGAATCCCCTAAAATTGCACTAGCAAAATTTGGTAGCACATTGCTGATGTGAGGTGGGATTTCATATGCACTGTTGTACATAAGACAAACATAAAGTAAGCTGTTAGACAAGGTTAACACTATGAGAAAGCATCTCAGAAATCCCAGCCTGCCCATTTGTGTGATATACTATTCTTGCCCTTGTCTAGTCAACTGCAAGCTTTGGCCAGCCTCCCCACCCCTGCTGCCCCAAATGTGAACCCTTGACTGCCCAAAGGTTGCCCAATGCAGATAATAGAGAACCTCCTAAGTAACAACCACACAAGATTTCTAGCTTATTAATGCTGCAGAATAGATTATGCTGGAGACTAGGTAAGCAGCAAAACTGCATGTCTACTATTGTTACTTTGTTTAACAAAATCTGTAAAAACTGGGGATGGCATGCTTGGGGTGGAGCTGATCCAAACACAGAAACCAGGATAACTGCAAAAATGTTCTTGCTCTGAGACATTTAGGCAGTTTCTCGTAACTTTATCTTACACTCATCCCTTCCCTTTATTGTTTTTTATTCTTATCCTTACAATGGTTTGGCAAAGTAACAAGGCCTTATGTACGGTTGTTCTAAGGTACTTGGAGTAAAAGAGAACTGTAGAAAGGGCCTTCCAAGCTGAAAACCAGCACATCTTAATTAGGAACAAAATTACTATAATTCGATCCTTTAAAAGTTATTGTTATAGCATTTTTACAGGTTTTTGTTTTAAAGCTTACTGTTCAAGCAATATGGATGCAAATTATGTAAAATATGTTGTGTATTCCTTCCTGATTCTAGATTGTCTCCTTATGCCTCTAGATGTAAACATCATCACATCATGTAAAGTAATTTTCTCTATGCTGTTATTTCTGAAGAGACAATTGTAACAAAACTGAATAGAATCCAGTGGTATGCTGGGGTTCTAAGGTTTCAGTTCTATTTTAGCTTGCCATTGAAGCTGATGAGTGGTCACAGAGAACTTTGGAGGGCTCTTTGGAGGACCTACATTCCCCTCCCCACAACTAACTGACAACTCATTCCTGGCACTTGGAATTTAGGGAGTGTCTGATGCAACCAGTTGATAAACAACAATGATGTTTGACATAATTGACAAGCCTAGCATCTAAAAAATCATTTTGAGATAACCTTTCCATTGTCATTGTTTCACTTTTAAATATGTGGCATTGCTGCTGGTATAATATTGGAAGATGAATTCAAAAGGAATTCTGGAGTCATAAAATCAAAGTTTATGAGTTTGGAGGGGTTGAGATATTAATGTTACCAATATTTGACTTGGGAGGATTATTTGGATACTGATATAATCAACATTATGGCTCCCTTCACAACATTAACTTTTTAAAGTTGGATTGCTAGCTTTATATTCTTATAGCTTGAGCTATGTAAAACTCTTGTCTACACTTTTAATAGAAGCCATTTCTTTTGTAATTATGATATAATTTTAAGATGAGTGGGGGAAGAGATTTCACTTGCTATGATGAGAATGATCAAACTCGAGGCAACCTCTGATCTATACGTACAACTGCTGCATTTTTATAAATATGTGTAAATGTCCTTCCTAATGTAATATTTTGATCCTGAAAATAAATCAGACATTTTCACTAGTTCTTAGCCTGTTTGATGAAAGACAGACAGACAGACAGACA